TATATATATATATATATATATATACATATATACACATACACACACATATGTGTATAATGTATAGGCATAGGTGGTGTGTGTTTTAGGAGCACGCATATAGGAGGAAATAGTGGCAGATGGCAAAAAAAAACAGACAATTTTTCAAAATGGCCGTTGACTATTGTTTAAAAAAAATTTGAAAAATTTGTAAAACCCTTAAAAACAATGAAAATCCAAAATTGCCCCTGACATTTCACTCTCAAACCGACGTCTGGAAAAAAAAGGGGAAGAAATAGCAAGGAAATCGACTTTTTCTTGGGAGGAGACTAACCGGCCACCATTAGAAACGAAGAAAGTAAATTTTGCTTATTTTTCCCCCATTAATCTTCGAACCTGAATGTTAAAGGTTTATTTTGTTGGAAATAGTGGTATAAATCTTTGTAGATTATGTAAAGTTACTAGAAAGTAACTTTTTTGAGGCTTTGGTGGCTTTTCGACGATCTCTGGGAGCAAAGCAACAGACGGCCAAGCTAGGCCATCTATTAACAAATGGCCTAGCTAGGACGGCCCAGGTCGTCTGTATCAAGTATTAATTTTTTTTTTAATTTTTTCATGAGAATTAAAATAATTAAAATATTGTTAAATTATTATTTAAATAATTATTTAATTATTATTTAAATGATAAATGAAAAATGTAAATAATGAATAAATGTTGACAATCAAAATACGCAATTACAATTTAATTGAAAGAAATTTCTAACATTTGAAATAATTAATTAAATATTTACATTTACTTGTCCAATAAATAATTTAAATAATCTATCTATACAAATAATTAAATCAAATAATTTAAATGAACAATTGAAACAAATAAATGAAAAACAATTGGAATAAATAATTAATTGAAACTCACAAAAATAAATAATGAACATTTAAATAATAATTAAATAATTATTTAAATGATAAATAAATAAATGTTAATAATCAAAATACGCAATTAAAATTTAATTGATACAAATTTCTAATATTTGAATTAAATAATTAAATATTTACGTTTGCTTGTTCAATAAATAATTTAAATAATCTATCCATATATGTAATTAAATCAAATAATTTAAACGAACAATTGAAAGAAATAAATGAAAAAATTTGGAATAAATAATTAATTTAAACTCACAAAAATAAATAAATAAAATTTAAATAATAATTAAATGATTATTTAAAAGATAATGAATAAATGTTAATAATCAAAATACGCAATTAAAATTTAATTGATACAAAATTTTAACATTTGAATTAAATAATTAGATATTTACGTTTGCTTGTTCAATAAATAATTTGAATAATATATCCATAAGTAATTAAATCATATAATTTAAATGAACAATTGAAACAAATAAATGAAAAACAATTGGAATAAATAATTAATTGAAACACACAAAAATAATGATAAATGAATAATGTTAATAATGAAAATATTAATTAAAGTTTAATTGAAATAAATTTCTAACATTTGAAATAAATAATTAAATATTTACCTTTACTTGTTCAATAAATAATTTAAATAATTGATTCATATATGTAATTAAATCAAATAATTTAAATGAACAATTGAAACAAATAAATGAAAAACAATTGGAATAAATAATTAATTGAAACGTAAAAAAATAAATAATGAACATTTAAATAATAATTAAATGATTATTTAAACGATAAATGAATAAATGTTAATAATCAAAATATTAATTAATATTCAATTGAAATAAATTTCTAACATTTGAAATAAATAATGCTCTTGTTCAATAAATAATTTAAATAATCGATCAATATAAGTAATTAAATCAAATAATTTAAATGAACAATTGAAACAATTGGATAAAAATAATCAAAGTAAGTAATTAAAATATAGATAAACAATTGAAATAAATATATAACATTTAAAATAAATAATTAAATATTCAATTAATAATTAAAATAAATATTGAATAAACAACTAAAGAAAAATATAACAAATAATTACATATTTACATTTAAATGTTCAATAAATAATTTAAAGAAAATAATTAAATATACAATTATAATAAATAATTAAATTAAGTATTCAATAAACAATTAAAATAAATGTTAAATAAATAAATAAACAATTGAAATAAATAATTTAGATAAGCAATTAAAATAAATAATGAATATTTAAATAAAAATAAACAATTTAAATAACTAAGAAATATAAATTTTCAAAATAAATTATTTAAATATGTAATTAAATATAAATAATCAAATTTAATTAAATAAAGAATTGAAATAAATTTCTAATATGGATTAAAATAAACTATGAAATAAATAATTTTACAAAAATTAGTTTTTCCCTTTTTTATAAATTGTTGTGTAATTTTTAGTCCATTTTCTTTATTATTATTTTGTGCGTATATTACTTACAGTTCTATTGGTTGAATTTTATTACATTATGTTTCAAATGTTCTAACATTTGAAAGTTTGCAAGATTGATTACCATTTGGACGCAGCATTAAGACAGGCTCCTGGCAAAGTTACGTCGAACTGTAACTTTGCCAGCTTCACAGTAGTATTGGATTTACTGGACGTGGAGCACGCAGAGATATTACGTCGATCCTGCCTATGGCCCCTGTATTCACTATGATCTGTATAGTTCTCTGGACAGTTGATCGATTCATTACTGTATCGGCTATTTAAGCCAGTTGACGGAGATGCCATCCACTTTGATCTTGGAGGCAAGGTTGCTACATTTTCTATATTTGAGTTTGCCCTTATCACTAGATTGAGATATACGAGCGAAAAGGCAGCGAGGGCCACTATTTCGACAGACAAGAGGCTGGTGAGTGATTATTTTAATGGGCACACGACAGTGACACTGCCGCAGTTAGAAGATGCATTCAGGGGATGCAACCAGATGTCCGACAAGTTGAAGTTGGGAATGGTGTTTATACTAGAGAGTGTATTGAGGTGTCATCACAGGAAAACGTCGATTGACGTTTTTTATTTGCAAGTTGTTGATGACATCGATATGTTCAACAGCTATCCTTGGGGGGAGAGACTCTTTGTCGATACTTTACACATCTTCAAGAGGGGATATTCGATGCCTAGGGAAGATAGGTCGGAGCGTAATTACAATGTATATGGCCTGCCGTTAGCTTTGTAGGTAAATGTTTAACATAATGAGTTATCCATTTTTTTTAATTAAATTGTACATATAATAATCGTAATTGTTGTAGATATGAGTCTACGAGATTGTTCCCGTCCTGACTGATCGGTATGCGAGGAGAGAGGATACATGCATCCCTCGGATGCACCGCTGACGAGCATAAGACAAGCCCCTTACAAAACAGTTATTAGTTATCCTAGACGATCCTGAGGTACGTATTATATATTTGCGCTTTCTATTGTATGTTATTTTCGAAGCTGGATACATAGTCAGTAATTCGATGAAATGTCAGTATGTCAGCTTGAAGTCCTCACCGAGCTGACACGATCGATCGAGGAGGAGGATTAGACTTATATCCGTGAGTTGTTGACAGATCGTGCTGCACGAGAGAGGCCTGAGTCCATCGTCGATTGGGATACGGTATGTTAATTGAATATAATATGTTGATTATCGTTATAATTTTTTAATTAAGTTATTGATTTGTAATGTTTCCTTTTTTAAGAGCGTCGTCGACTATCACCTTCGTCGAGGGTGTCACATTCCCTGAGGATGTCGTCTCCGTCTAGGGTGTCACCTCCCTACATGCGATCACCTCCGTCGAGAGTGTCACCTCCCTGCATGAGATCACCGTCTCTTGCATCCGGGCACCTCTCACGTGGATCAGTTGCACGTAGTCAGAGTGCTTCTATCGATGATATGTTCCGACTTATGATGGAGATCGCGACGTAGCTGACTTACTAGGCAAAGTAGCTGACTCACGACGTGATGTCGGGATGGTACAGGTCGGTTTAGGAGAACTTTATTCTGAGATCGTAGCGATACGGGGTGATATAGTAGGCCTGCATGGGACTGGCGAGTATCGGGATGGAGGGGGTGACGGAGGGATAGGCGGCTATCGGGACGGAGGGGCAGACAGCTATCGGGATGGAGGGGGTGACGAAGGGGCCGGTGGTTATCAGGGCTGAAGAGATCAGACGGGGTATGTTGACTCGTTGTGGGCATCGGATGATGCATTAGCTTCATATCTCGGTGGCTCGATAGATATGGAGATGGAGATGGAGGATCGGGCCCCGATGGAGACGGAGGAGGAGGTCGGGAGGGTGTCGAAGGAGGAGGGAGTACCCGAGGCAACGGTTGGGAGGGTGCCAGAGGCGGAGATCGGGAGCGTACCGGAGGAGGAGGTCGTGAGGGTGTCGGAAGAGGAGGGGGTGACGGAGGCGGAGGTCAGGAGCGTGTCGGATGAGAAGGTCGTCAGGGTGTCGGATGAGGAGGGGGTCCCCGAGGTGTCCGAGGAGGAGGGGGTATCCGAGGTTGAGAGGGTACCATCTCGGACGCCAGACGTAGTTTTTGTGTCGGAGGGGACGAAAGAGGTGGTCCCGATGGTAGGTGAGGGAGTGCTGTATATTGGGAGAGTGTCGCGTATTGTTGACGTGCCGGAGCTGGTGGTCGGTAAGAGGCCGACGGTACCATCACAGTACGTCGTTTCTCCGTTTACCGCGGAGGCGAAGAGGAGGAGGTTCGTCAACGGCACGTACCCAAATTTATTTAGGGAGGTGGATCACGCCAAGTGAAAAGTGTTCGAGACGGAGTGGAGAGCAATTATGCTCGGTTAAGTATTGTATTATTTGTTAAGGATTAGTACATTACGCAGATGATGACACATCTATATTTTTACTTAACAATTACATTTTTTATTTTTCAGAGCCAGACGTAGGATTGCTCATAAGATGATTTCGGACACTTACAAGTGGTTTCACGACATCACCACTTCGAGGGCTTGGCTCGCTGATGATGTAAGTGAAGTAGTAATATTGTTATTTATTACGTATACATATTTTTGAGTTTTGAATTTATGAAATTAAATAACTCCTTTTTTAATTGGTGTTTCCTGGTGCAGCACATTGACTTCGCCATGGATTTGCTACGAGATCGAGCTGAACGACATCGAAGATCATTCAACATTCCTGGCCGACTCATATTGAACACTGAGTTCATACGTGCCGTTGACATTGAGTACCAGACGCTCCAAGCTATGGATAGCGAGTACACGGTGCCTACATACATGATGAAGTGGGTCGTAGGGATGTGACCGAGTGTCGGTGGAAAGCCATGGGAGGGTTGTACTCATCCGTACATTCCGGTGTGCGTCAATCATCACTACATTGCAGTGGAGATTGTATTCGCCGACTCGACTATGTATGTGTATGACTCCGATCATTAATGTCTGACACAAGGTCAGCTCGAGTAAAATCTGGAGTCGATGTCTGTGATCGTCCCCATGCTGGCTAGACGAGCGATCATTATTGTGTAGAACATACTGGCCACCGTGTGGGACACGACGATGGCGAGATAATAAATATCGTAAGTGTTTATTATATTATTTTTGTAATTTACAACTTACGTTCTAGTTAGACGGTAATATGCTAATACAATATTTTGTAATTGTAGGAGTGATTGCGGCATATTCGCTATCAAGTACATAAAATTTTTGAGTGTAGCACAGAAAGTTGATGCAATCAACCAGACGTGGATACAAAATTGGAGAAATAAATTAGCTTGTGATTTATTTGAATTTAATGGTGATCCGTAGATATTGAACCGTGTTTCTTTAAAATAATTGTCTATATTGTAACGTTTAAAAATTGTATATTTCATTCATTCGTTTGTAATTATGAAATAATTGGAAAACATATATTATTTTTTTAATATTTAATTTTTATTTTTTAGTTTATGTGTTTATTTAAATGTTTCATGACATATTTATAATGTTTGGATATATTGTGGAGAACGCACTGAATGTTTTAAAAAAAACTTCAAATATTACGAAACTAATTAATGAAATATTAAAATAAAAAACTAAATCTAATAATTAACATAAATATTTAACATTAAGAATATGCATAAATAATTAATATCAATGTTATAAATAACATTATATAAACTTCAATTATATATCTATTATGTTGTCAAGTAGAGGGATCTGACTTGTACAAAATTTTCTAGTATGTCCTGTTGCACCGCACCTGCCGCACTTACGAGGTCGGAAAAATTTTTCGATCGATGGTATTTTAGACGTACGTGTACGTCAAGGAGTACGTGGACCGACTGCTTGTGACAACAAGTTATTCAATGAGAAAATGTCATCGGGAACTTCCTGCTCGACTTTATTCGGTACAGGAAATATGGTTTCGACATATGCTGCTCTCCAAGAATTAGACGTGTAATGAGCACTGCATAACGTGTGTGGTGAAATTCCTCTATACATAGCCACCGTCATTGCATGTGTACACGAAAAACTCTCCAATTGAAACTATCTACACGTGCACGTGTTATCATTCAAGTCGACGATATATCTGAAATTACGTGCACATCTCGCGAAGAAGTGAAACCGATCTAATGGTTCTACTACATATACCTTCCTTGCCACCTCTAGAGTTTTGAAGAGTTTATCTTCCTGAGCCGAGGTTAGCACACTTGTGCAACTCTGTGATTCCTCACGACGATCATGAAATCACTGTTGCAGCTTGTCACGAATGTTCTCAAGTATTGTGAGAATTGGTAACTCTCGATCCTTCTTAAATAAGGCATTGAGCAACTCCACATTGTTCGACGTCATCATGTTGTATCGACGTCTTGAAAAATGTGATCGTGCCCAATGTTCGATCCCCATCTCTGTCATATAACTCCCATGCATCACAGGATTTACTTTCTATTTCAACCATAAACTTTTCAAACTTTTGAAAACTGTAAGCCTCTGCAGCTCTCCTAAATAGCGTAACGATGCCCTTGTCTCGATACTTGATTTTCAGATTTTCTTGTATATAGTACATACAATAACCATGATGTGCCTCGAGGAAGACTTCGGTGATACCGTTAATTATTGACTGTCCTCGGTCGGTTACGAATGCAAGGTTCTCGACTTCCCCAATTACTTCCCTCAACTTCGTGAAAAACCAATGCATTGCCAAATCATTTTATCCGTCAACTATGCCAAATGAAAGATGGTAAATTTGGATGTTAACATCTTGACATGTTGTAATAATCAACTTGCCCTCGTATCTTACCTTGAGGGTTGTACCGTCGACTAGGATTAAGGGTCGCATTGTGTTTCAAAATCCTCAAATGCATTGTCCAAGGACCATAAAGAAATACTTGGAGCGATTCTCGTCATCCTTCTCAATAAAAAAATGTCGATCCAGTATTAATTATTCCCATGTTATAGAAAGATCTGACCAATTAAATAAGGAATATTCATAATTTAAATAATTAAATAAACAATATTAAAAATTGAAAAATTAGCAATTGAATTAAATAATTAATTACACATTAAATAAATAATCGATAAATAATTAAATAAACAATGGAAGTTAATGATTGAATTAGTTATATAACTATTAAATAAACATCTAAACAAAGAAATGTCTGGCCAATTTAGCATAACTCTCCTCGGTCGAACCCTTCAAGTCCTTCAACGCGCATTCTTTGGCATTCCAAGCCTTCTGATAGTTCATGACCACTCCGTACTCCCGACGAACGTCATTAATAATGTCCGAAGATTTGCAGATTGTTCGTGGGTCTTGAAACTTGTACATTACTTCTTGACCAATGAACTATGATCGGGCTTGTCTGTGATCATTTCGACGAATACCCATTTTCCAAGTGTGTTCCCGTGCATACTTACGAACAACAAAGAACTCATTCGTGTCCATTTTCATTGCTTGCAAACGTCAAAGGCAACTATAGTCAACGCAGACAATTGTGTAAATCGACTTATTTGATTTTTTCACTTTAAACTTAAAATTGTGTTTCAAAGCAATCCGGTGAACAACTTCCTACAAATCTTTCTTCGTGTCAAACAGTTGCTCGACATACAAATCTTCATCATCGGGGAGCATACGCGAACAATTAGAGGACCGTGCACTCGGTCCAGCTTGTGAGCTCCCACTCGACTCATGTCTCAAACGGGATAAAACAATCAAATTCTTATTTGTAAAGTC